TTGTCACCACTCCTTCCCAATTGAGTGCAACAAAATATTGAGTGACTACCTAAGACAGAAGATGCTTTGTCTTTTCTCTCGGTATGACCTATTAGATTGTCACATATTTTTCCTAATACATTCAAGCATTATTTCTGAGTAACCACTCAAATGTCTGATGATACTTCAAATACGGTTCGAAAACCCTTTCTTCCTTTACAAACTCTTTCCTGTGGTTTTTCTACGCATTTGAATCCAAATTTTTCAGCTAGAAATGGAATGTGGCGTTGATGGAAAAAATGATTTTTTGAAAAGCTGTTTTAAAAACACCTACTTGACGAGGTAAAAAGGTTCAATCAGTAGCATTCTGTCATTATTTTTAACCTTTTCCCATCTTTCTACCAATTTGTGGGAATCTTCACGCCAAAGTGCGCTGAGCAACCCATAGAAAGATAGGAACAGGTCGTAATTAATGATAGGCACCAATTTACTCATAAGCGTGACTTTAGTTTTCCAAACATAGTATTGAATTCCAACAAAATCATGGGAAAAAACTAAGATGTTGAAAATTGCTCTTTTTGGTCGAAGAGCTAGACTTAGCTTGATTTAAGCAAAGTGAGGTGCCTAGAAAACCACAACCAAAATGAAGAAGAAAGCTTCAAAACCAGTTTATCCCCAATAAATAAAATTTAGAGAAAATAATGTTTGAAAAAATTCACGTAACAACCCAATACTCATTTCCTTCTTCTATACTACTAAATTTGTGTAAATGAGGTCGTTGTGACACAACACTACGCTTGACCCTGTTAGTGTAGCTATTATATCGCGTTATTCAATAATGTATCGGAGAGCGCACCTATCCTAATGTGAGATCCGCATTTTACAGGTCACGGAAATTTTTTTTGTTGACACCTATCCAACGTTAAACGGATTAGGATGCGGACGTCAGGATTACCTACCGTCACGATCAATTCTCTCTTTGTCACAACTGATTTACGTGCTTAAACCATGAAAAGAAAAAAAATCCAGAAATCTTGGAAATCCGAACAAAAGGGAAGAAGACCTGGCTAAAAAACA